GAGGCAAGCTTCTTGCTACTGCGGTTACACATACTTGCTGATCATCAACATTCTTAACCTATTTGCCTGTCCAGGTGTTGACAGATTACTGTAATAACTGTGAAACGCTTTTCGCAAGTCTCGAACATTTTGGGTAATGCCTTACAATCTCCCATCTCAAATTTGAGCCTCTACAGGCACAAAACTGTACTCCGCCCTGCTCCTACCGCCAGCAGGGAGTGACGCAGCGGACATCATCGGGGGCACATGTCTGCGCTATGACGAAAGGCCGCCTCTTCATAACGGACAGAGTCAGCAAACGGCAGTTCCTAGTCGACACGGGTTCGGACCTCTGTGTATACCCCCGCAGGCTCGTCCATCGACGCATGGAGCGTACCAACTATGACCTGTGTGCGGCTAATGGCACTACCACGCATATATACGGATGGCTGCCTCTCAGCTTCAACTTGGGCCTACGCCGAGAATTCACGTGGCGCTTCGTGGTGGCCGACGTCCCGCATCCTATCATCGGCGTGGACTTCCTGTCGCATTTCGGTCTCCAGTTGGACTGTCGGAACAATCGCATCCTGGACGGGGTCACGACGCTGTCAGCCCCGGCCTCAGAGGCCAACGCACTGATCCCCAGTGTAAAGACAATCAGCAGCAACACACCGATCGACAGCCTCCTCACAGAGTTCCCGGACCTGACCCGCCCAGCTGGAGTCCAGCGCGAGATACGACACAACACCGTCCACCACATCAGGACTGTACCTGGCCCACCAGTAACCTGCCGACCACGGCGACTGGCACCGGACCGACTCGCTATCGCAAAAGCCGAGTTCGACGCCATGTTGCGGGATGGTACAGCTCGTCGATCAGAGAGTTCATGGTCCTCGGCACTACACATTGTGCCCAAGAAAGACAACGGTTGGCGTCCTTACGGCGACTATAGAGCACTCAACACCCGGACAATCCCTGACCGCTACCCAGTCCCGCATATCCATGACTACTCACACCAGCTCCATGGCTGTACCATTTTCTCCAAAATCGACTTGGTACGAGCCTATAACCAAATTCCCGTCAATCCCGGTGATATACAGAAGACGGCCATCACCACTGCATTCGGCCTATTCGAGTTCCCCTTCATGTCCTTCGGCCTGCGCAACGCCGCACAGACCTTCCGACGCTTCATGGACGACATTCTGCGGGGACTCCACTTCTGTTTGGCTTACCTGGATGATATCCTCATCTTCTCCCGGTCTCTAGAGGAACACGAGCGAAACCTATGGGCACTCTTCGACCGAACGCAAAAGTATGGGATCCTCATCAACCCGGCGAAGTGCGTCTTCCGAGTACCTGAGATCACGTTCCTCGGTTATAAGGTGTCCGCCGAAGGCTCCCAACCGCTGGAAGAACGAGTGACTCACCTTCAGGAATGTCAACTTCCCAAAACCGCCAGTCAGCTCCGCCGTTTCTTGGGCATGCTGAACTACTATAGGCGATTTCTGCCTCACACTGCAGCACATCAGGCACCACTGCACGACGTCCTCTCCGGACCCAAGGTCAAGGGCTCCCACCCTATCACTTGGACACCGGAGCTCCACGGGGCCTTCGAAGAGTGCAAGGTTATATAAGAAGACATATTGAGTGGGAGCAACAGTTACAGTTCTAGTCTACAGTTCACTATTGTTACTATCCGTCTGTGTATACTGTGCGGCTGCAATAAATCCTATAGGACAGTTCGACTAGTGGTTGTCTCTTCATACGACATTCCACACTGTCTTCCTGTCAGGGGTAGACAGGTGTAATGTAGAGATTGCAGAGGGTGTGTTTAGATGCAGAGAGGTGTATATATATATATACAGTGGTTGAGTAGAACAGGAGAAAGAGGAGACTAGCGACACGCAACTGGGTAAAAAGAGAGAGAGAGATGAGGTCCAAGAATCGTCTAAGAAAGTGTAATGTGTAACCCGACACCAGTCGGCTCTTTCATTGTGATATTGCTAAAATGTATATAACTGTATATTGCTTGTTTATACTAATATAGGGTAGCATAGGGTGAGGATGTGGGTTTCTGCTGTTGCGATTTCCTCCCTTACCCCATTTCGTACCTGCGCCCTCCAGCCAAGCCCGGTGAACTGTGTGCCCCTAGCCAATGAAGCAACGATAGAGGAAGTAATTTAGCAGTTTCCTTAGCCCTACCCCTGTGACTGCAGTAGAGAAGGTGACAGCGGGGATACCTCCACGCCCCCTGTCACCACGGCATAACGGTGGCATAACATTCTCAATTATGTGCTTCTATTGTTTGAAGTTCTCACATGCGGGGCTAGTGTTATTACTGCGTGACAATCACATGAGTGTCACGGCGAACGTAGGTGTTATGTGTGGCCTAGTGGTGACATGGGACAAGACAACCTTCCTGTCGAAAGAGAGAAAGAAAAAGAAGCAAAGGCAGAAAACAGAATGATATTAATATAAAGAAAACCCAATAAAAATATTGGGACATGACGCATGAAGGACGGAATCGTGGAACCAGAGACGTCCACTGCTAAGAAACGGCTCGGTAAACACGTTCTCATGGCAATGAATACGCAAGCAACAATAGAGGAATTGCTAGAAACGTTTTCCCCTGGGTCCGCCCCGGAGCTATTAAAGGAGGTACCCTTATCATCTAGCACGTCATTAAATGTTGAAACGGTGTGTATGAAAACCTGTATAACACCGCTTGAGAATTGAACGCGACGTCTCATCGTTTGATGCGTAAGCTTGCCTACAGTTTACTGTTCTGCTTTCCGCAGTATTCCTTTCCTGCCCTACATGTTACCGAATTAAACATCGAAGCCGACGTTTAACGCTATCTCCCTTGAATCACACTAAAAATAGTCAAATCTAAATCAGCTTCCTTAAATTGAGCCGATCCCTTCGGCTCATTGGTTGTGGTGCCCTCTCCGAGCGGCGGCGGCGGCCGCGGGTCACACCGTTTTTCCCTACCTTTCCTACTACCTATCCTTATTCCGTGGCGTATTCTACGTCATCACTCCACTATCCTTCGTGATTCGGCTGAGGCACCCGCTCTCTTCTGCCTGGAAAGTCATCGTGTACGGACGTCTCGCTCCGTAACTAAATTCTGTTTGGGTCGGCGCCATGAAAGATTCGGTTTGGTAGCTAAACTCCAGGCAGGAGGGCCCATCTCGAGGTAATGCACATAATACTAGCATACTGATTATTGTTCTTGGAGGAATTGTGTAAGCTGAGAATGTATATATAGGTTTTGTCTGTATTGTGTGTGCAGGCGATTTCAGAGATGGTATTATGCTAGCGTGAAGTTTGTTATTAAGTATGCCTTATATGTCGCTTGTGGCGGAGACAGCCTGTGCGAGTTGTGATAGGATACCTTGTGGCTGATTATGCCGATTAATTGTTGTGTTTTCTTTTGACACAAATTACTGGTCATATATTAAATGTTATTTGATTTTCTTTTTTACTTCTTGATTATTTTTTCTTGTTGAGTAATAGACAAGAGAACACCCGTTCCCCAGCTGGTGGGGTGGGGGCTCAAAATGGTACACTATACTCCACATATCCACGTCAAAATGTAAACATATTCGGAGCGTACACGCAATGCACACTCTTTGCCAAGTATAATTAAGGCCGCGCCATAGCTCAAGCGGTTAGTCGCTGGCTTCCCATCGCGACGGCCCGGGTTCGATCCCGGGTCTCGTCAAGTGGGATTTGTGGTGGACAAAGTGGCGCTGGGGCAGGTTTTCTCCAAGTACTTCGATTTCCCCTGCCAATCTTCATTCCACCAATTGCTCCACAATCACCATCACCTATCATCTGGGGCTGGT